AACAAGATTAATTTTTTATTTCTAATTTTTTATATTTAGTTTCTCATTGTGTCTTAATCTTAAATTTTGTAATTTATAATATACTTATTTGTAGACTCAGAAATGTCGCGCTATCGTGAATGGGATCTATCTTGCAAGGTTTACGTGGGCAACCTGGGAAGTAGCGCTAGCAAACATGAGATTGAAAGTGCATTTAGTAAATATGGTCCATTGAGAAATGTATGGGTGGCTAGAAATCCACCTGGCTTTGCATTTGTGGAATTTGAAGATCCGCGAGATGCAGAAGATGCAGTGAGAGGATTGGACGGAACGTAAGTTTCGAACTTGATAATCTTTATATTAGTCTTCTTTATTGCTACAATTGAGTTTTGGCTTTTTAGAGAAAAACAATCCTATGTAGATTTTAGTTCTCATGAATTTGTTATAATTGTAATTTTTTTAAGGGAAGAAATTATAAGCTTTTTTAACTTGTTTGTTGTTAACAATGTTTTAAAAAATTGAACTTTATTTAAAATTTTAGTTATTAATATTATTGTTATGAATTCATTAATTCGTTATTAAAACTTATAAACAAAATTATAAATAATTGGAAAAACTTCTACTTTTATATAGGCTTTTAGGATCTTCTACCTCACTCTCATATGCCTGTGGCGCATGTAGGTGATGTACAGGCATATGGGACCTACTTTTTAACGCCGATTCCGAACGGCAAATTTTTGAGAAGATTCTCTAAGCAAGAAATACTCTTGTAGTTTGCCAGACCGTCAAAAAGAGACATGAACATATGAAGATATTTGATCCTATTGGGATTCGAACCCAGGATCTCTAAAATTAGATCAATGCGCTGTCTGTTATGCCACGCTCGCTCTAATAGAAAAATTAAATTATACAATCATTAAAAAACTCTAATTATCATTTACTTATCTCTATTTCCAAAATTAGTATGCTCTTTTGACTTTTGTTTTTTCAAAGAAAGAGAAAAGTAATTTAATATGACAAAATTATGAATTATAATCTCAGAGATAAAACTATTAAGGTTCGCTTGTCTCTCTGCAGCCATATTGAATTATGACTTGTGAAAAATACCAGAAAATAAGATATCTGTCCAATAAATCACATAGAAGTGTAAAATAAATCTTGAAATAATGGTACACTGCTTAGCTATCAGAAATTACCAGATCACTAGATCTAGGGAGCTTTTTAGCAAGCGACACAGTTGACACAGTATAACACAGTGTCGCTATACGTGCTTTCCTGTTATTACAACACAACACATTTCGACACAGCAGAATCGGATTATGTTCTGCATCATGGCTGCCAATTTTTAAACTTTTATGTTCGTAGCACTAAATAGTGAAAAAGAATTGTCTTTTTCTATTTTGAAATTAATCATTTATTTAAGGTTTGTTTAAGGCCGATATTTAAGATTCTGTAGACCTATTCTCTAAACGATAATTCGGTGTCGTTATACTATTGTTGCGTAGATATTTTATATGAAAAAATCTGCGCAACAACAATATAATGACACCGAATTATTCTTAAAAATTACAAAATAGGCTAACTGGACTAAGAAGAAAAGGTTATTTTTGTGACACTGCAAATATTTTAAAACTCGAGAATGAAGCAATCAAACCTTCAACAAATTTCAGCTAGCGTCAATTGATGACTATATCTAGAACTAAGACATTCCATTCAAGCACCCAGACATTGTGTGACAGTGTCTATCTGTGTCTTCTTGCTGGAAAGCTCCCCTAGTTGTTTCTGATAGCTGAGCAGTGACTATTATTTCAAGAATTATTTTACACTTTTACGTGATTTATTGGACAAATGTCTTATTTTCTGATATTTTTTACAAGTTTTAAGAATACGAAAATATCATGTTTTTAAGGGAAAAGATAAAGCTATACGACGCAAGAAACTTTTTATGTCATTTCTCACTTCTGACGTCACACATGTCACGCTGCGAGAGAACCGAGCCTTAAATGTCATTCTTTATCTTTCAGACGATGTTGCGGTACTAGAGTGAGAGTAGAGATGTCCTCTGGGAGAAGTCGTCGTGGAGGTGGCGGTCGTAGGCCTGGTCCTCGATATTCCAGGTAAGGGACTTCGCGATATTTCGTAATAATCGCGAACTTTACAGCGAAAACAAGCGTTAGAGCTGCGACATGGCTAAGCGCTCCTCGCCAACGTAGGTATTCATGCAGAAGAACCTCTCTTTTACGTTCTAAGCAAGAGTGCGCTCTTCTCAGCGAAACGAATAATACATGAGTCTTTTTTACCCCCCTCAATGAATACTTTTTCGTGCACATCACCGCGAGACTCAATATTTTCTCGTATATATTTTTATGTAGGAATAACGATATACATACATACATACATACATTTAATTTACATGTGTGTATGTATGTGTGTGTGTGTGTGTGTGTGTGTGTGTGTGTGTGTGTGTGTGTGTGTGTGTGTGTGTGTGTGTGTGTGTGTGTGTGTGTGTGTACTTATATACATAATATTTTATATATATATTTTGTTTTTTCTTTCTTTTTCTTCACTGTCGTATTGTCTGGCTAATCCTCCTCCTCTTCTATGATCGTGAGTAGTTTAAGATCACCAATTATTTAAATTTAGGTTGGGTCGCACAATATTTTTCATAAAGATTACTGCTACATAGATATTAAGTGCATGAATATGGTGAAATGTTAATTTCGAGGATTAGCCAGAGCACGGCTAAATCCATACTGCATGTTTATGCGGACAGGAAAATATTGGATCATAACATATTAGTTCCGATGTACTAAAAACGGAAGACTATGAGGAATAATTTCTAATTTTTTAATAATTTTAAGAATCGATTAAATATGTTAGGAACATTATTATTTTTAATTATTAATTAAATTACTTAATAAAACAAGCAATAAGTTGCAAAATATTAAACATTACATCAAGGATTATATCTTGAAATAAATAAAAAAGAAAAATTTTTATATTATATATAATAATGTATTGATTTTTTACTTTTAGTTACTTCATTAATTTATTAGTTTAATAAATAGTTAAATAGATTAAATTTTTTTAAACTTTAATCTCATCGTAATAGTGATAAAAGAATTATTTTCCGTAATTTTTTTCTTATATGTAGAGGAAAATCGCCGATAATTACATAATTCTTAAAAAGGTATCTTTTTATTTCTCGGAAAGCAAAGATTGTCTTTTATTAAGCTTTATTTACTAATAAAAACATAATATATTTAAATTAAAGAAAAAAAACTCTTAATTTATATATTTGTGGTCATTTCTATATCTAAAATCAGCTAAATAGATTTCTCAAATACGAAAATAAAATTTTTATGATTTTCTTTTGCAAATTGCAAAATTTAAATAATACTAGTATTGATACTATTATCATTTTACATATTTGTAGCTTCTTGAAATTATTTATATTATATATTTTTTTCTTATCTTTTTTTGTAATGTGATTTTAAATATAAAATAATGTAGCCGATATCTAGCTGTAAAGTACTATAAAGCATAGTAACTTAATCTAATGTACCTTTTATAGTGCCATTACTTATGTCTTACAGAATAGCAAAAAGGAAAATAAACATAGTTTATTAATTTATTTCATTATTAACTTCTTCAACATGGAGTCATATTTGAAGTATATATCTATGTGGAGTATATACTCTTAGAATTTATTTTTTGAAGATTCCTTATAGTCTACTACTTATCATAGCATTCAAATATCTTGGGTATTATTTATCGTTCATATCTTTCTCTTTTTTTTTCATTCTTTTTCCGATTGTAATGCTCTTGTCCGTACGCTTTAGCAAACAATCGGATTTATGTACGATATATCTTTTTTTTTTAACAAATTTGTAGGTCCAGATCGCGCAGTCCCCATAGGAAATCCCTGGGTCGTTACCCAAGGTAAGACTTTCCTGCTCCTCTTAGCTCCTCGCCTTCCTTTTACAGATAAATCCGTCTCGCTTCTTTTTCTCTGTTCCATCTTGCTGTCGGACGCAATTTTCAGATGCTAAGAAAAATGAAAATCTCGCGAGGCAATCACCAGCAAAACATTTGGCAGACATACATTAGTTCTTCTTAATCCTTTGTAGATCCTGGTCGAGAAGTCCACGGAGATCATCGATTAATCATTACTCCAGGTAATTAATTCCTTCTCTTCCTTATAATCTCGACTTGTTTTTTTTTTTGTATCTCGCTTTGCAAAAGTTTTCAGAATCTACGGTCCTGACGAGACGAAATAGCAATCAGTAGGTATACACTAATTGCTTGTATTCGTATAGTATACATACTGCATGTATTATTTATATATCACGAAGTAGTAATCACTATTATTTACTAGAAGCATTTAAGAAAGGAGAATGATGACAGAACTAATGAGATTGGCACATAAAAATTTATATCTAATTTCACAAAGTTTTTATATAGAAATCGATTTCACTACTTGTTTCGTTACCATTCTCCTTAAGCGGTCGAGACTCGTATTTGAAAAGCTAAAAGATAACTTAAAAAATAATCGATTTTGACAAATCATGGGTACTCGAGCAGCGGTAAAAAATAAAATAATATTTGATCGGCGATCAAGTTAAAAAAGTGGGAGAACAGGACTGTATGAACTGTGCGATGATGAATGAAGATGAGGAGGGATTACAAATAATGCATTAAACAGGATGAATTTTAGAAACGGCGTGATGCTGTCAATGCGCGCGTTAACGAGTACAGCGGGTACAACTTCGGATACAACAAGTTTGTATTTTAAAATTCCATATGAATTATCGTTATTGTATCGTTATGGATTTTAATTTTTCTAACTTCAGAGAATGGAGGATCTGCTTGATGTCTAAAATAGGCAGAGAAAATAAATTAAAATATATAATCTTATATGATTGAATATTTGCACTTTCAATAATAAAACGAAATAGTTAAAATTTATTTCTACAATGGCTAATGGTAATAATGGCAGCAATTTTAATTTCTTTAAATATATTGTTTTAATTGTTGAAGAAACACACATTTTAAATTAAAAATTAAATTTTGTAATTCTCAACATTTGTTAATATAAAGATAATTAGACTTTTTAATATAGAAAAAAAGGTAATATAGAAATTTTATTCTTTTGTTGAACGGTAAATATCTTAAATATTATATTATATTGAGATATCTTAAATATCTCAATTATATGATGTCGAAGATATTGAACACTGCTTTTCATCATTTTCTCATTGCACATGCATCGTGGATAAAATACACAAATATAATTCAAATGTATAAAAGCGATCAGTCATTAGGCCTTACAAAAATTTATCGATTTATTACGAGAAAGTTGACATAACACATATGATGCTTGATGCATCGCGATGAGAACGTGATGTATACGTTAGTGAGATTTATACGTCCATTACATGTATAGATATTTGAATCGATCAGCACGGAGCACAGAGGTCCTCCCTACTTTTTTCTTTTTTTTTTCTCTCTCTCTCGTATCTTCTCGAGTGGGCAGTCTAGGATAAACGAGAACGCAAAACTCGATCGGTAGAAAAACGGCGAGAAGCGAGCGCGTGTGCTATCTCTTCGATTCGTAGAATTCTTTTTTTCCTCTCCGAAATGACTAAAGAAAGAGAAAAGAAATTGAAACATTATGAGATCCGCGATATAGTGGCCAGGAGTATGATAACGTTGATGATTATATTGCTAAAACTGACGTTTGCAGATTCTACCAGCGTCAGCTCCTAGCTCTGCTCGTCTCCCCGCACTACTACTACTTCTACTACTACTGCTACTACTTCTACAGCCACCGTGAAAAAGCGTATGCGTACGCAAAAAAAGCGAATCGCCAATCTCGCAATCGTCAATTGAACAAAACTGAACAAAAAAAATATAGCCTGCCTGCCCACTAACCTCCCAACACCAAGTCACCATCAGTCACCACCAAGTCACCGAATATATAGGAAGCCGTCCGTACGTCTGTCACGTCACGTCACGTCACGTCGCCCGTCGATGTTGTGCGTTGTGGTGCGACGCGCACACAGCACACAACGGCGCAACAACCAAAAACAACAGTTTTCGTGCGTCGTCACCGCTGCCGGAGTACCGCCAGTGCCCGAGACTGCTACCTTCGGAAAAAAAAGAAAAAAATACCAAAAATTGCTTTTTTTCGTTGCTGCCCCCCCCTTCGAGTTCGCCGTCGTTGCACCGCAAAATATCGTCTTGAACCGTCACAAAAAAATCCATTTGCCGCTCCGTTGCGGAATTCTCCCCTTTGATCACCACTACTATTATTACTACTACTACTCTTCCACCAACCACCACCACCACTACCACCAATCGACCGATCACCAAGTGTTGTTGTGATCCACTTTCTTCGACTCTTCGTCTCAGCTTTAGCTCGGGGGACACATCGAATCAATCGCCAAAAACAAAATTCGCCACCGTGAGGAAAAATGTCACCCACAACCGGCCACCGCCGCCATCACCAGTTCGTAACGAACTAAAATCGCGATGCAAACAAAAAAAAAAGAATTAAACCGTCTGTACAGTAATTCTGTCCACCGGCGCGTCTCTCCATTCGACTACGATCGACTGTCTTCCCGACTATTCGTCGTTTCGAGACCGACGTTTCTATTCTGCCACTGCCACTACTAGTATTACCGCTACTGCTACTTCTACCACTACTGCTACTGCCACTACTCGTCGACCATCACTTAGGGACGTGTGTTAGCCGCAACAACAACTGAACGCGCGAGAGTTGCCGCCGAGAGATCTTCTCGACCTTCGACTCCTCGAGCGAACGCAAAAAAGCGAAATGATCACCACCTACTACACACCATCCCACCACCACCCACCAACCAACTACCACCACCAACCACCACTACATGTTCACAGTTATCTGGTATTTCACCGATTTTCAAAGATTTTTTATCTCTATCTTTTTCTATTTTTGTTTATATTCTTTTCTTGTTTTTATTACTTTTTATTTTGTAATTGTCTCGACCAGGAATTCTATTTGATTCGGTAAAAAGTTAATACATTTTATTGAAGAGTAATGAATCTTGAAAAAATTGATTAAATAAATGAGATTTTAAGTGATGAGAGTAAGTAAATGAGTTTTTAATAAAATTCTTAAGAATCAAAAAATTCCCGGCCGATACACATAAATAAAATCGGTATATATATGTCGAAATGTAACATTTACTGATAAAAGATCTAATGATTTCACTACTAAAGTTAATCCTCTACTTTCTTTGATTGGTTTCGCATTCGATTGGTGAGACGTCATTTTATATTAATTCATTATTAATCGTGTCTAACTATAGTTTTGATATATTTCCCTCTAGGTAAAATAGGAATTAGATAATCCTAATTCTCTTACAGTTGCCTTGCGATAATTTTTCGTATCTGTGTTCTATACCGCTTCACTCCACTCCATCTCGAATTTAATGTTATAATTTTATGAATTCTAAATGCTCCGTTTTTTAATAAACAATATATTATCATTGCGAAATAATCTACTTAGATACACCAAGTATAGGTAATAAATTAGCAAATTATTTTAGCAACTTAATTTTAGAATAAAAATAATGAGTGACTTAAGAGAGGATAATAATAATTTGAATTGCGATTAATAAATTATTCAAAAATAATAGCTAAATTAATATGATTAATACTTTAGCAATTAATTACAATTTAAAAGTTCGTTTATCGTAATATTTTTTACGAATAAATATCTCTAATTGATACTTTATGACAAATAATATCGATATTTTAAAATAATATTTAAAAAATATAGTAATGTATTATTTATTTGCGGCAATTATGATGAATATTTGCAAAGTTCGCGGCGGAGCGGAGAAAGGCGTTCTAATAATCTCCTTTGTTATCTAAAAATGAAAATGATGTCAAACGGCCTTTAATTTTTTAGGTCGAGATCTCGCAGCCCTCGCAGGAGGTCTTTGTCACGAAGTCGCAGCCGAGATCGCCGTTCACGTTCGGATTCCCGTGACAGACGGTATTAATATTAACCCTGCTAATTAAAAAGAAAAAGAGCAAAATTTTCCTTAATTATGAAAATGATGATAATAAAAGAAAACGAAAACGAGAAAACCAATATAAAAAAACAACAATAAAAAGAAACTACATGCCTTCGAGGGGATGATGACTTTTGTAAAAATTGGCATAAATAAAAAGAAAAAAAACCCTACAATTATGTACAGATGGGAATTCCGCGTTACATTGATCAAATTCGTCGCAAAGGGGATAGACATCCTCTCTTGGGATAGAACAAAAAAAAAAGTGAAAAATATAAGTACGCTCTTTTGTCTAAGCCTTGTATTCTTTATCTAATTACAGTTAGATGCTAAAAGTTCAAGAGAAAGAGAGGTAGATAGAAAGAACGGACCGACTTTATGTGCCGAGCGGAAGACAGAAAAATGAGAGAGATAAAGCGAGAAACAATTTTGTATGTACATAATAAAAATTGATTGCTACTCATACATACATATATACATACATACATACATACATACTATCGTGCTATCGTTTGAGGTTATAAACGACCATGATAAAAATGCGACAGAAAGCAAAATAAAAGACGTTTCGACAGGTTTTGTGGATGACTGTGAATTTAGTCAATAAGTTTCTCAACATATATGTATATCTATTCCACAAATATAACTTATTCTGATGCACGTATAGCTAACACGATCATCAAGTTGTGTGCATTATATTAATTAATAATCCAAATATATTATCCAAATATGTGACGTCAGAATATCATTTATTAAAATAAATGCGATAAAAAATAATCACTTATTATTTTTTTTAAGTTGTGATTATTGTCAAGAATATTAACTATTTTGTCAGAAAGATAAAAATCGAAAATTTTGTTTGGACATATTGATTATTTTATATTTGTACTTTAACTTTAAGACATAACAAAATAAACTTGTGAATGATAATGTGAATGTATAAAATTTTTATTAGTTCGTTTTTTTTGTGCATTACTCACACGACATTACGCAACTGTCATTTTCCTTCACATTGACAAAGGATATAATATATAAATAGCAAATGAACCCTGTGGATATTAAACATGTATACATCTCTATCTATATTGGAGTTTTTCCCTTCTTTCTACTAAAAAACTTATAAATCTATATAATAATTCTAAGCTAAAGCTTTAAGAAAGAAACGAACTATTTCAAATTTTTTATTTTTTTTATAACTTCAAAAGAGAAACCGTATTTTATTTTCGATATATAATAATAATAATATAACATTTTATTATATAATGAGATAAATTTAGAATTTGTTTAATTTATAAAGTATTTACGTTGATATTAGTTTTTGATATGTTGATATTAATTTTTTGATTCTTCAAAAAAAGATTTACGTGATTCAAAATTAAAATTTCAAAGTTTATACTTGACTGAAAAAAAGGTTTGTGTTGGTTTATAAAAAAATTTGTAATATCAATATTTCAAAGTTAAAATTTCAAGTTTTATACTTGAAAAAAAGGTTTGTGTTTGTTTATAAAAAAATTTGTAATATCAATATTTCAAAGTTCTACCATGAAATTAGATATAAGCCATGTTGCCTAAAGCAAGAGCACACAGTCTGACTCCCTGCTGGCAAATGTGATAATCTCTGATAGGTAATGCCAGAGTCTCATCCAATAATTTTAAGATCTCCAAATATGCTTTCAATGCTTGCTCGTTTCGGCCTTCCTCGAGATTCGTCGCTGCAACCTTAAAAATGGCATCTGTATCCTGTAGGGTCTTCAAGCCTTTCAGAATATTCGTACTTTTTCCGCACTTCGCGCACCCGATCATAAATTCGTTTGTATCGCTTCTAACTAGCAATACGTTGCCGCAGGATAATCCAGTCTCACATTTAAATCTGGAAAAACAAAGCAATATGATGATAAAATTAATGGTCTGTTTTTTATAAGGTGTGATTTGATTTATTTGGTATATAGGTTTTTTTTTTTTATTTAAAGCTCGGTTTCCTCACCGTAGCTATATTGGTTTACGATGTCATGAGCAATTTTGTTAAAAAATAATTTTTATTTTAACGTAACAATTGCAATAATTTTCATTACGTGTTTCTTGTTTTTTATATTAAATTTAAATTGCCGTGACATTGCTAACAAAGACCTTAATAATTACTACAAATCAAGATCTCGATCATAAATTTCTATTAACAAATAAATAAATTAAATATAGTATTGAATTTGTTATGATCGGCGTTCTTAGATAGTAACATGAAAAATGACTGAAACTCGAGAAAAATAATATTTGTATAACTAATATTTGTATATTTATAATGTCAATTTAATATTTAAAAATAAAAAGGTATATGTTAACTGAACAATATTACATATATTTCAGTGTAATATCAATATCTGAGGAATTTGATAATAATAAGTACTGTAATAAATTAAATACCTAAGTACTGTAGGATCCAATTCGTCCAAAAGTGGCCAATGTCCGGAGCACGCCTCACAATTGCAATCAAACCAATATTGTACCCTCAATTTTCTTTTTCGCTCATTTTCGAGCATAATTGTGAAGATGGGACCATAATTCTCAGAAATCTCTTCGCCCACTCTAATGGTGCGAATGGCACGAACGACCATGGTAGTGCCAATAAAGTATCTAGGTGATTTAAATTTGTAATACAAATCAACATTACATAATTTAATAACAATGAAGAAGAGAATGTTTATTATTTACCGCACTACTCCAGGATTGCATGAATGATTCAGCATCGCTACTGTGGGATAAACACCACCGCCTATGAACATACTTTTAGCCTTAGCGAGTGTCTTCTCTCCTTTTGGTCTTACCAATTCTGAAATCTGAAGAAACAAATAATAAGAATAAATATAATAATTTAATATTCAATCCTATAAAACCGCGAGTACACTCTTAATTAAAAAATAAGTGGCCAATTGATAAATGACATAATCAAATACAAATTTACAATAATATTTTACAATATTTTATTTTTTGTTTGAAAATTGACGAGCTATTCTGTCAAATCTATTTATTATTAAAATAATTTTTTAAGCAATAATGAAGTACGATCGAACGAATTCTAATATACGTTGCGTTGTTACTTCGTGCGTGTTGAATTGCAATAGCTGCAAATTGTGTAATAATAGTCCGGCGATAAACAATTCCTCCTCCGATAATTTACTGTCTGCTGAGTCAGCGGTTTTCACGTTTTCCGGCAGATACTCGCCGGTTCTTAACAATCTGAATAACCAAGCCGCCATGTAAGCTCTGTGAAAAATATCCTCAGGCAACCTTTTATCTTCGTGAGTAACTGTTAAAATATATAAAATATTATAATAAAAGAAAGACATCAGCAATTTTTATAAGAAAAATTATGAACGTGGATAATTGAGAAAGGAGAAAGTTAATTATCTTTAAAGAAATTTTCAGGATTCTTTTTATAATTTTGTTTAAAATTATAAAAATTCATTATATGTTTTTTGTTAAGTTTATTTTTTAATTATAAATTTACGCAATTCAGAATGTTATTTTATCTTTTTCATTTTTATTATTATTGCTTATTTATTGTTAGAATAGTTTAGCAGACATTTTACATTTTAATACTTTTATTATTAGTTACCTAAATTATAAAAAGTCGCGTAGTTTTCCCCGCGATATGGATTTTCCGCAGAGATTCGCGACGCATTTCCGGAATCCTTGAGTCGTTGGTTCAGTTTCATAGCTTCTTCGAAAGGTATCTGTGTGATCGCCCTTAGAGCTAAGAAGCACGTTACCGAAGCTTTTGAGTGCCACAAGGCCGGCAACAACTTGCACTCTCGCGAGTGCACTTGGGCGTCCGCATCTCTGCAACGATGGCTGCAATATGCGACGCAGGTGCAAGTGCGACAAGCCGCTGGTACGAATATCCTCTCGAAGCACAAATGGCAATGCGTGAGCCTTGAAAATTGAATGTCGCGCATCTTAATCGTGATATAAAATAAATGTTTTAATTGCGACTTGGAATAGAGAAAAAGAAGACTTGGAATAAGAAACGATTCTGCAAGCAAGCGCATAGCAAGTGAAATAAAAAAGGATAAAATTATTTTATGTTCAAGTTCTAAGTTGTATTTCAATCAAAATTACCACAGTCAGAGTGTAAAGTATCGATGAATGAGCAAACTTGACAATTGAATATTCAAAAAGATAATCGATTCGGGGAGATCCTTTTGATCTACCTGTTCTCTGCCAATAGAAAAGCACAATGCGGTCGTTCGATGATTACGATCTCGCCGGGTGCTATCTCTCTAGTCGCCACGGCGTGTCTACCTATGTCACCCCCGTCGTCTTTGATTTTCACTGCATTACTGCAAGCGGGATACAAAGGGTTCCTCTTCTTCTCAGGAATAAATCTACTATGATGATTCCCTTCTGAATGCGCATTAGATTTTTGTTTCACGTGAACCTGAGAAAAATTTTTTGTGGCGGCCTGATTGAGCTGTTTGCCCTTATCCATCACCGCGAGCATCACTCTGATGTCCGCCTCGAATTTTTGCTTCTTTTCCAAGGGTATCTTAGCATTATCCAAAGCCTGGAGAGCCCGCCTGAACGCCTCGATCGCTTCATCGTGTCTCTTCAGGCCCAATAAACATCTGGCCCGTCGCTCCTCAAGTTTATAGAGGAGATCTTTTGGATAACCGAGTCGCGAGGCCTCCTCGATATCCTTCAACGCGTGTTCATGACGCTCCAAATGATACAACGTAGCCGAACGATTCGCCAGAATAATGCTTAATTCTGAACATTTGGACATTTCTCAGAATCGATCAAAATAATTGCAAATAGTATAATTATTGAATGATGAAATAATACTGGGATAAATTGCGACAGAGATTTTCGCATGAGTTACGGAAAAATAAATTATAGAGAAACGGTAATTTATTTGACATATGATAATACTCTGCTTAATGATAAGCATATGATAATTTGAAATATTATTTTTTTATTGCAATTATATAATGTTATATTATGTATGTTAATAACATACATTGACCAAAAATATTAAGTTATGTGGATATAATTATATATTAAATAAACATAAAAAAACAAACACCATACGTGTCTACCTGTTGACGGTGCTAGAAGGACTGCATTCGAATATGTTTCCAAAGCCTTCGCAAATTCGCCATGACCAAAAAATTTGTTCCCGGCGTCTTTCAGTCGGATAGCATTGTTGCTATCCTTGACCATAGATTTCTCCACTTCCAGGGATAACTGGTAAGCCTCAGAGTATCTCAAAATGAAAGCCACCCTCTCGACATTCGACTCGAGAGCGGCGAACTTCTTAAAGTCTTGTTGGCGAATCGCCTTTCGTACTGCTAACAAATTAGAACGAAAGAATCCACCGATTTCCGGTTCAGGCTCATTTCCCGACATTTTTAAATATATTCTTAATCAATTCTTATCAATAGATAACTAAGGATTGGACATAATTATAATTAATGTATATTATATATTATATATTAATATTAAACTTGAACGCTTTTATATATTTAATAATAATTAACACATTTATTTTTATTAAAGAGAAGAAATTTTATATTATCTATTTAACAATTATTTATTTATATTAAACATATGCAGAATTACATTTAGCAAAAATTAAATATAGTTAATTGAAAACACACATCTTCTAGTATTAATTTACGGTTCAATCGTTTTGGTAGTAGTTATTAGTATTTATAATAATTATTAATATTAATTATAATATTAATATTAATTATTTTTATATTTCTCTTCATTAATCTCTTCACTAATTTTTCGCGTTTAATTCTCGCGAATTAATTCTTCGATGAAATCAAGTATGAAGACGATGCAAAAATTAATTAAAAACACGAATTGAAGAACACATGCGAATGGCATATTCCTGGTCGACGACTCAAAGTTACTGGCTTCTGATCGTGTGTCTCGCTTTAGCGAGACTCATGCGCGACTATTTCGGTGTGTACTATTTTAAGATGTTTCGATCTTGGTGTGAGTGCGTGCCGCAACAAAACGGAAACATAATGTCTTCCTTAGACAATATAGACGATAATATAACTTCATCGGTATCCGGATTAAAATAATTAACTCATACTGCCTGTTCCGCTTCGTTTCTTATAGATTTTCAAAGAAAATTTTTTGAAATTTAGAAGTGCTGTTTCTATTTCGAGAGAGAGAGAGAGAGAGAGAGAGAGAGAGAGAGAGAGAGAGAGAGAGAGAGAGA